AAATTTTATTATTTAACATTCTTTTTTGAATTAGGTACTCCTATTTTGAATTTCATTTGTTTTTCCTTTTAACAAAAATGATTACGTTGATATTATTTTTATAATTGGGTCAAGAAATTTGAATGTACAGAGATTTGGTTTCCTGAATTCCTGATCGTTTGCATTTTTTTGCCTTTTATAAACGTCTTTCTATTTAATTGATCAATAGATAGTCTATTTGTGTCAATTATCTTGCCTCTTCAGATAGTACCTATGTCAATATCTTCTTTAATGTGTATGTTTTAACAATAAAATATTGCAAAAAATTGCTTCGTAAAGGGAGAACTCGCTAAAATATTGTCATATACGAATTTTCAGTCGAAATAGATTCTGTTTATACAAAAAACAGGTGCCTTTGAGTACAAAGCACTACTCGAGTATATCCCTTGTGGCATTAGCAGATAACATATCGTATTCGTATCGGGTAAAAGCGTGGGGAATTCAGATTTCCATCCTGTACTGAGCCGAGACTCGAATTTCAAAGGGTTTTTTACGACCTATTTTGGCTTGACGAGAAGATCGATGGGTTTGCTTCACCGTGACTTCGGGTTATCAATCTTGCTCTTAACATTCTGTGGTAGTTTGATATTGAAACAGACTAGGTACTTACTCTTTTCTCTCGTGAAAATTGTGAAAAGATACCTAGGCTGGTTGCACCATCTTACTTTAAATTTATGACAAACGTCAAAAATCTGTCAAACTCCATACAAAAAACACCGGTTATCGTTAAAGTTTCGGTCTTTAGCTGGTGCATTTCAGCCTTATTCTTCTGAATGAAATTAAATCGGTCAGATCAGCTCAAGTTTATGAATATTTTTCACATGCCTTTAAAAATGTAACATGTGACTATTGAAATCAATACCTCTCGAAGCACCTCTTTCTTTCTTCATCTCTGATGATACTTACTTGTCGATTTTGATGACTTGATCAAGAACGACGATTTCACGAACTTTCCTAAGCATGAAATTTATAAAAGTTCTTTCTATTCCTTGCTCAGTATAAAATACCTACAGTTCAATACCAGTAATTCAATAACACTCTTATCAATTTTGGATTAAATTTCACAATATATTTGCTACTGTTTTGGCCGTTCGAACGCAGTCGCATTAGAATCAATTTGCTTCCAACTTGTCTACTAATATTTCTTTCGGTAATTGGATGGGACGCGAGCCGGTAATAAAATTGTAATTAAAAATTAACTATTTGATACAAGGAGCCTCCCCAAGGGTGCATACTAAGTAGGTAACGCCACGCATTTGTTTGCAAGCTAAAATAAACTATCAGAATTTATAACGGTGTTACATGCGGCTTTATTGGGTTAGTAATGGTATTACATTTTAGGAAAAAGCGGCCACAAGGCTTAAAAACAATTTAATACTACCTATTCATTCTACAAATACAATGTGTAACACAGGATTATGTTTTAATCCTTAAAATGTTGTGTGATATTATATCCCAAGAAACATTATCTGGCCAATATGAATGTGTGATATGATTATGTCAGAATTAGATTTAAAAAAATGGAATCCACGGCCTGTTTGAGAAGAGTCGTTTCCTGGCGATAAGACATGTACTCATAATTATGACATTTCAAAAGTTCTTCTTTCTTACTGGAAATGTTGATAAAAAATTGACTTCTTTGTCAATTGTAGGTACTGCAACTGTAATACTTACGCTCGTATTCCATTAAGCTATGTTCTCACTTAAACTATTAGACTTAACATGCCTACTCATTTCCAACACTGTATAATTTCAAAGTTTTTATGGAATTTTCCTAGTAAAATTCTGATAATAAAAGTACATTTTCCTAAAACGCGGCTTATCAACCGAGTAATACTTCCCCGTAACCCTTTATTACTCACAAAAAACGTTTTTAATTAATAAATTTGCTAATTAAACCCACTTACCCCAGTCCATTAGCCGTATCATAAGGCTCGGTGTACATTATAATAAGTTATTACAACATAATTTATTATGCTGTCATTACGGTGACACCGTCGCGTGCGTTCCTGTCATAAGTTACTGCCGTCGCTGTTAATTTCATTGGACATAGTGACAAAAATTCTGTTTACTTTGCGGCATGGCGTCAAATGACGCTGCATGATCTCGTTTAAGTAATCAGACAGATAAGTATGCTAATTAAGTGCGGTTAATTAAGTAGTTTCCGTGTTATGGGCTTTAGAGCGGTTCCCGTAGAGTTTGTTATGTTTTGGTCATTTTCGGGATTAAAATGGATTGCGTTGTATTTTTTTATGTAAGAGCACTTATGCCCGTTTTCACCATCAATCCCTAATTTTTAAGTGACACCTATGGTAACAAATAACAGGAATTTTGTTTACATAGGGGTCACTTAAAAGTTAAAGATTGATGGTGAAAACGGGCATTAGATTGCTAATTAAATCTTTACATTGTTTTAAATCAATCAATATTAATAAACAAGTCATTAAGCTTTGGGTCTTCATTAAATTCGCTACTATTCACGGCATAAGACAGTGTTTTAGCGTACTCAATCGTCGTTAAATAAATCATACTTCAATTACTTATTGCTATCCCATGCTCCTTATCTATTTCAAAATCTTTGCCAACTTTTATTACCTTTGCAATTACAATCAATGATCACATTGATTGGTTCCACTTAGCTCCATTGTTTTGCCCCGAACATCGCCGATAAGTGCAGCGTTAATAAATACTAACCCCCAGCCGGTCGTCAGAGCGGGACACGTCCGTCGTAAAAAGAGTGAGCAACGAGTGGTCGGTACAAATCGGACGAGTCATCAATTCCGCCCGTTATTGATATTGGCGTGACTCGTGGGTACCAATGGGATCATTCCTATATTTTCCTTTGCTGATTTTCGTGAAAGTTGGGAATTTTTGGTCTGCAGTGTATGAAATTTACACACTACTTTCTTACCTACAGTATCGATAGAAGCATTGCTAAGTTTTCCTATACTTTTTGTTTTGTTTGAAAGTGTTTTTTTTAACTTTCAATAAACATCCAGCTGTAACATGCAACCGCATACATAGTACACGTGAATTGCGATTGCTCTAGGAAGTCTAGTGCTTTCTACAGTCTCATTAACATTATGGATTACTTACCACTAAAAGTCAAACGCGTGTTAACTTTTTTGGGGTAAGGTCCTCTGTTTGACAATTTGATTCAAAAATTTAAAACAACATTACGATGTATAATAATGTAAAATAATTCAAGCATTCTGAATACTAGCTGCATTCAGCAGCATCGAGATAAAGAGAATGAAATGTAGTTATTGATTTACACGCTGTATTTTTTGTTCAATCCCAACAAAAAGTAACAACCAAACCCACGTCTAACAAACCGTGCTCTCCAATCCGAAGCCCGCGGCGAAACAACACCTGCATTACCATAACAAGACTTGAATTTGAATGTCCAATCCAATAACCCGCCTCACCCGGTATTAAGTTATCCAGTTTTTGCGGAAGACGGCCCCGTTAACATATGAATATGACAAATTGTGGCCACCGGTCAGACGGAGTTTACGGCACTCCAGGGAACAGGAGACCAACTTGAAATTTTTCATTCCCAACAAGAAAAACGGGCGGTCACTCGTCAAAACTGTTACAATTTCTCAGAAACAATAATTTGGTACGTGCCGCCTTGACCGCCGAAGCCATTATAGCTCTGTCAATGTTATTTATTTGGAGGCGCATGTCGTGAATTTTTATTCTATCATGGGATTTCAAGTTTTATTGGAGTGAAGTTGCAACGCCACCTGGGGCCGAGTTGCAGAATTTTGTTTTTTGGATGTTTTTAGGAAATTCGCGGTAGGAATTTTTTGTGCTATTTTAAAAAAACTTTTATTAGCAACTTTGTTTGATGGAACTCAATGTGTGTGTAAAAAAAATCTCTAGGCAATCGTTATAATAGCTCATCGTTAATTTGGCATATTGACCTGAAACTTTTAAAACTTTAATCGGGTGGCAAAAAGCTTTTATCAGCTAGCCTTGAATGGAAAAGAGAAATTGCTAAATCATAGGTATGAGTGATTGGGTTCATTTGAACTACTATATCAATAATTAACTTATCGGCGATAATCTCAATTTCTCATTTACCTGGAGCAATCTCATACCTACTTTGGAATTCTTCCTGGAAAGTAAGATTTTCTACTTAAGTATAGTTTCATAACGCAGGCCTTAATTTAACCTTTTGCCAATAAACAGAAGTAACTGAAATCAATAAATTACACTGCTTATAGATTTACTTCTATTATTTGGGTAGCTTCTTTTCCAACCTTATATTATTATAACTAAGCCTAAGGCTGAAAACCACGTAACTTGTAAATGAAAGTACTGATTTGTGAGTTCGCGGCGACAGAGTATTCCCAAATGGAATCAGGGAAGTGCGCGCGCGGGTCGCATACGTCGCGCGCTTTAGTCACTATTTCCACGACAAACTGTGTGAGTAAAATACTGTATGGAATGCGTTTTGGAAATATGTGAGATTGTGAGCATAAGATAAAGAAGAGGCGTTAAGAAATAATAATGCTTTTAGTTCATAAATAACTGTGGTGGATTGCAGTGGACTGTATGCGTTTGTGTGTGTTCGAGAGCGCTGACCGGACGATGATGACTGCCGTTGAGAGCTTGCCCTTACTATGTCAGGCGTAGTAGGTGCTACTTGCAGGAATAAAACCACTATTTCACTTGCTGAGACTTCTCGCGTTTATTATTCGCTTCCTTTTCTCAGTTCTTGCTTCTTCAGATCACTTGTTGCTTGGAGCACTTGTTCTCTGAACTGAACAAAACAATGCATGCCAGCTGGAGCGGTCCATTCCGTATTTATGGGGAGCGGCTATCTCCGTCCCGCTTTCACACGCTATTGCTATCCCTGTCTTCGGGAAATCCACAGATTTTGCTAATTTTCTCCAACTGGCAGGTAGTTTTACAATGGTTTCTTATTTTCTACAGATGCGTAATTAAATTATCTACATTATACAAAAAGTTTCNGTCATTTCAGGTATGTCAAATGGAGACACATCTAAATGGTTACACAAGGCTATGTGTGTCTCCCTTTGCCGGGCATATCTTGGGCATACTTTAAGGAGGTGGTCAATGTCCTGGACAGTATTGGGGTCACAATTGCACTTATCGGTCGCGACTATCTTGAACCGGTGTAAGTATTGCCGGTGATAGCCGTGACCGGTAAGGACTTGAGTTAAGTGGAACGATTGTTTCACTATTGCATATAGTTTTGTTACACTGTCCAGGCTTGGAAGCCAAGTTCTAGTGCGCACTCCTGTAGTAGAAGAAGTGTAACGTTCTTCGCTACAAAGCCTATTAGCTTCGCGTGAGAGTCGTTTGACATGGCTGATTGGGAATTTCGCGAAGTCGAGTGATTGGTGAGAAGTTGCAGCACTTTTCGCAGCTTCGTCTGCTGCTTCATTCCCTTCGAGACCCACATGGGCCTTAACCCACACAAATTTCACGTTTCCAGAGTGGCTTCGCAAGTGATCATGAGTTTTTGTTGCAAGACTGTTGGTAGTGTTTTTATTCTCTAACTCCTGTAGGGCAGACAGACTATCAGAGAAAATGGCTACGTTTTCAATATTAGAATCTTGGACCCATCTAACAGCGCGTTCTATAGCTAGTAGCTCAGCTTGGAAGACGGTACAGCTATTGTGTAGTTTAAGTTTCTGAATTATGGGCGCATCATTCGGCTTATAGATAACGAATGCTGCGCCAACGTCACCATTTTCCAGTTTACTGCCGTCAGTAAATATTTTGGTGCTGTCAGGTGGGCAAAGTCTATCGATGTCATTTTGGACATATGCTGAAGAAAATTGTATACCTTGTCTAGTGGCAGGGTGAGCAAGTTTAGTTGGTGGTGTGCGCTTATGCAATTTTATATCTGAAGAGAGGTATGGAGAGCAGCCCGTGAGCTTAGCACGTTCTACCGTGCATACCTCTTGAACTTTCAAGTCTAGTGGAGTAAATTGTGCGAGTGTGATGGAAGCGATAGTGGAGACAGTACGGAAGCCCCGTATCGTTTTGACAGCGAAACCACGTTGCAGGGAAAGTAATTTTTTACAGACCTTTTTATATTTGACTGCATCTCCCCAGATACCCGCTGCATAAGTAATTATTGGTTCTATAACATGTTTATATATGATTGAGATATTTTCACTGTGGATTCCCCACGTGGGACGGACAAATTTGCATAGAGTGTGATATATTTTTAGAGCTTTACAAACTGTATGTTCAATGTGTTTTATAAATGAGAGTTTTTGGTCTATGACGATGCCAAGAACTTTTATGCTATTTTGAAATTGCAGTTGGGTGCCACGATGAATGATAAGGGCTTTTCGTGCTGTTGGCGTAAAGCCAATGAGCTGGGTCTAAGGTCCTCTGTTTGACAATTTGATTCAAAAATTTAAAACAACATTACGATGTATAATAATGTAAAATAATTCAAGCATTCTGAATACTAGCTGCATTCAGCAGCATCGAGATAAAGAGAATGAAATGTAGTTATTGATTTACACGCTGTATTTTTTGTTCAATCCCAACAAAAAGTAACAACCAAACCCACGTCTAACAAACCGTGCTCTCCAATCCGAAGCCCGCGGCGAAACAACACCTGCATTACCATAACAAGACTTGAATTTGAATGTCCAATTCAATAACCCGCCTCACCCGGTATTAAGTTATCCAGTTTTTGCGGAAGACGGCCCCGTTAACATATGAATATGACAAATTGTGGCCACCGGTCAGACGGAGTTTACGGCACTCCAGGGAACAGGGGACCAACTTGAAATTTTTCATTCCCAACAAGAAAAACGGGCGGTCACTCGTCAAAACTGTTACAATTTCTCAGAAACAATAATTTGGTACGTGCCGCCTTGACCGCCGAAGCCATTATGGCTCTGTCAATGTTATTTATTTGGAGGCGCATGTCGTGAATTTTTATTCTATCATGGGATTTCAAGTTTTATTGCAGTGAAGTTGCAACGCCACCTGGGGCCGAGTTGCAGAATTTTGTTTTTTGGATGTTTTTAGGAAATTCACGTTAGGATTTTTTTGTGTAATTTCAAAACAACTTTGTTAGATGTAACTCAATGTGTGTATGAAAATGTTCTCTCGGAAATCAATTTACCGGTGCAGCGTCAATTTGGCATATCGACTTGAAACTTTTAAAACTTCAATCGGGTGGCAAAAAGCTGTTATCGCTAGCCTTGAATGGAAAAGAGAAATTGCTAAATCACAAACTATCCTTGATTAGATTAATTTAAATCAAATCAATTAATTAATCGGCCAATATCTCAATTCCGTAGAACAATCACATAACTTGGTACTTACCTACTTTTGTATTTTTTCTTGAGGGTATAAATTATACTTGAACGAGGTTTCATAACGCGGGCCTTATTTTTATTAACCATTTGCTAATAACTAAGTATAAAACAATAAATTACTAATCCAATATTTACTTTTATTATTTGGGTAGCTTCTTTTACAACCTTAATATTATTATAACTAAGCCTAAGGCTGAAAACCACGTAACTTGTAAATGAAAGTACTGATTTGTGAGTTCGCGGCGACAGGGTATTCCCAAATGGAATCAGGGAAGTGCGCGCGCGGGTCGCATACGTCGCGCGCTTTAGTCACTATTTCAACGGCAAACTGTGTGAGTAAAATACTGTATGGAATGCGTTTTAGAGATATGTGAGATTGTGAGCATAAGATAAAGAAGAGGCATTAAGAAATTATATTGGTTTTAGTTCATAAATAACATTAACAATACCTACACAATGGAACATTCAACTTTTGAAGCTATAAAGTCGCATACGAGTGCTTGTACATCATCTGTTTTTTAACGTAGCAAGCGAAACAATCTCGAGGAATAATCTCTCACGTTTATTATAGTGTGATCAATGGCAAGTATGATGAACCATCCTCGATTGCAGGTAGCATTGTTCGATTTAGGATACAAACAGATATTTAAATAAAATAAATGCCTACTCTTATTAATTTAGAGTAACATTGCTACGAGCTACGACGTAGCTACTTGACTGCGTTTGGCCGTAGCTACGGTTTTCATTTTCTTCAGCAGGACCTCACGATTTTGTAGTTCAGGATCTATCTGTCACTTATTCGGCTGGTCTCTTCTAATCTTAACTAACTATCTTATCTTACTTTAGGTGAGCTAAGAAAGAAGGCCACACTGAATTTAACTAATAAAAATAATTTTTTTTTGACTCTATAAACAACTCCACTTAAAATCTAAGATGTTTATAGCACCATTCAAATACCATATTGTCACCAAATCAAAAATCGTTCTAACACGTCTAAAATTACAAAGTCAATCCGTGCGGACGCCGCTCCAATATAAATGTAAATACAGGCCGGTGAAATATGACAGTTATAATTGCTTTATTGTGCTGGGACTGTAGATCCGCTTGTGATATTTGGTATCAAGTTTCGATGGAAGTTGCTGTGGAGAATATACGAACTAGGAGAATACGAGCGATTTAAAAGTACATACGAGTATGTCTAAATTTGGACTTAAGTCTAACCCTGAATTACACCATCTTAAAATAGTAAGACACGGGTCTTAACGCGACGTTTATTAATGAGTTACATTATGTACTCACGGCTTGACGTTTCGGCTGCGATGCTGCAGCCGTGGTCTCAAGCAGACTGCTGGGTTGGAACGCGAAAGTTTAAAATCTTATATTCCACCATCTTTAACTATAACAAACGTTAAGTCTGTCAAACTCCACACAAAACACCGCTTAAAGCTATAGTTACAGTTATAGACATGGTGATGCTTAACCTACTTTAGATTTGAAATAGCGGTCGGAGCACGTGTTTTCCAGCCGTGACACCATCTTCCCGTTCGTTCCTTTCAACCAAATGACGTCCACTGCTGGACAAGTTCTCCTCTATGGCTTTCCACAACGATCGGTCCTGCTTTACCTATACAGGGTGTTAGGTAAATGGGTATATGAGCCGACACTAGCCCATGTTAACATGGTCATATAAATGGTATGGTGAAGTTAGAAATTTGATATCATCATTTTAATTTTTTTAATTTTCATACAAAATTAATTTTATAAAATCAGATTTGTATGAAAATTAAAATAATTAAAATGAAGATATCAATTTTCTGACTTCACTATACCATTTAGTAGCCCATGTTAACATGGGCTAGTGTCGGCTCATATACCCATTTACCTAACACCCTATATCTAGGTGCTCAAGGTGATCAAACGCGAAGCTCAAGACCGAACGCGATGGAGGACTATTGTGGACGCCCTCTGCCCCATCTAGGCGACATAGGACCTTAAGTCAACTCAAGTAAGTCAAGGTGCTACCTGCGATGCCACATATTATGGTAGGTAATTCTGCGGGTTATATCAGTGACTTTGGTTCTGAATGTTTGGAAATTCGGCTTGCCTTTTCGGTTAGTTCAAAAAATTCTCGAGTGGCAACCTCGGGCCGGAAGACGTAGCGTGGGCAGACCTCACACTAGGTGGACCGACGATCTGGTGAAGGTCGCGGGAAGAACCTAAATGCGGGCAGCGCAGGACCGGTCGTTACAGAAATCCTTGGGGGAGGCCTTCGTCCAGCAGTGGACGTCATTAGGCAGAAACGAACGAACGAACTTCGGTTCTCCTACATCTTATTCTATAGGTATACCTTCTAAGTACATTAACAAAAACATTTCGGCGGAACTGATCGCCTCTTATAAATATTCACAAGTTACACGAGACGGCTCATTTAGGACCACTGCCCCTCTTTTTTGCGTTATTGGCTTAATACACAGGGGGGTTGTTGGATCCTTGCAGCTACAAGAACAAAATCGATATCCTTAATGGAGCTTTTTTATTAATTACAGAAGAGATAAAAGGTTTTCGGCTGAGAATCGCCGTGAAAGAGTTAAGAGCATTAAAAAACAGATACCTACACCGAGTTAAGGGTAAATAAAAAGTAAGGAATGGCCATTTTAATCTAAAGGTGTCTGACATTCAATCTACCTAAATATGTGAGGTATAGAGCCGTCAATTCAAGCGGATGTTATTTGAAATTTTAAGTTATAAGAGAATGAGCATTATTTAGAAAATATGTCACTATAATTATCCACCTACAGGCTCAGGGCGGGAATTCTCAATTCGTATTCTAGATGTCCATAAATAGTCATGGCACTTCCTGCCTTCGAAATTTTTACTTACATCTTCTTTGGACTCTTCTTTAATACGGTGTATCACAGAAGACAGCAACACTCTTAACACTTGCTCTTGCTCCTGTAGTTGTAATACGCATTACTTTGCTATAAAATAGCATGTCTCTGATCCATGATACACTCACCTAAAGACTGTATAGTTTATTAGATGCTACCTAAATTACAAGTCAATCAAATCACTCTAGCTTTGCCGATACCTGAAGATTTACACAGTTAATTCTGATAATTATGTGTATTTTCTCTTCCCCTTTTTAACAATTCATATATTGTTCTGTTTAAATTCCGATGCTGTTCCAGTAAAACCTAACAATATAAATACATGTCACAACAAACCGGTCCAGAACCTTCGTCTTTCTTTACACATGTCCAGACAGCATCCCGATAAATCAGGGAGCTATTGGGAATTGATCAGGAGTTAAGTCACGATTGTAGCGGATCATTCCTCCGGGATTCATTACCGGGACGCCGGGACTGATTGTCGGACAGCTCTATGGAATGTTGTATTTGGTGGTTGTATAGGATAGGATTTTAGATCTAGCTACAATACTTATAAATCTTACTCCTAGTGGAGTACACTATTGCACCATTCATTCATCAGATTCATCTGGTATTGTGAAAATTTTAAATAAAAATTCAGCGATAAAAGGATTATTTGATCGTATTAATTGAATTTAAAATAAAATAATTTTATGCTCTTATAAAGTGCTATTACAAATTCAAAATCAAAGTAATTTTATTTCGGTTTACAAGGCGTAATTACATGATACAAAAAATACAAATATTTAAAGTAAAAAAAAAACGTAATCATCAATTTTAGATTTGTGAAGTAAAAACACAGTAGGTATTATTGCTAAAAATAATCTATGTACCTTCTCATTATCAATGATACGTATGACTAATGAAAAAAGAAGTATAAATATGAAAATCTTCAAACCCCGCTATCGATCTGAAGGCCACATGTTAAGCAATTTGTAGTGCACAGATCACCCGCTGCGCTATGAATTATTACTTGCATAACGCCCCTCACAATCATTTCATAACAAGCACTGATAATCATGCAGCTTATTATACAAGTTCGTTTATGTTTATGTTTATTGCAGATGGTAATTGCAGGAACAAGTGGCGTGAAGAGGTAGACTTTTGTAATGCTAATAATATCAATAACTTTGCTATGCCAAGTCAAGATCTTTACAAAAAGTTATGAGCTTTTCATTCTTCTGCATTCACTTGGTCTCGTTATCTCTACTGGACGAAATAAAAACAAACATTCCCATTTATCTACCTGTTACAAAAAGTATGTATAGTTTCCAAAACACGTATTCTTATAGTAGCTAAATGATTGTGTATTAATTTTACAATGCCCGACCGTACCAATCAACTAGGGCTGTATGAATTTGAAGATTATTTTTAGTTGTTACTTACTCACTACATTTCATGATGAAAACATAGTATTTATTATTTAGTGATATCAAGTGCGGGTAAATCTTATTTGCTAACAATGTTAAAATTTGATGTTAAGATTTGACCATTTTAAGTTACGTTGAGTTCTACATGACACTTTACATATTTTTCATACCTTACGTGCACCACATTATTAATATTGACATGAGATGTAAAAACGTAATCCTTCAGATGCTATCTAAAAATAATGTTTGCAAATTCAGTTCATAAATAAC